TAATCATAATCATAATAATTTTTAAAAGTAAAAAAAATATATGCAAAAGAAAAGGTACTACAATAATTTGGCCTTAAAACTGAAGACATTGTTTTATTAAATATCGGAAATAATTAAACGAATGTGAACCCAGAAAATTATCAAATTTCTTTTGTGAAATATCTGCAATTTAAAACCTTTAAATATTTCCAAACCAGATGATTTTCTTTCTACACAAAACTCACAGATTTGGATGCATTTTGTTGTGTATCTTGTTTATACTAATGATATTTAAAAACAAAATGTTACAAATCAGCACCAATGAATATGAAGCTATATCCAAATAAATTATGATATTTATGATGTGTCATTCCATTCAAAATGTTTTTCAAGCTAAGAATATATTAAAAAAGATTTACTTACTTAGTAGCTTTTCCACGATTCTTTTCATTTTCCCGATCTAGAAGCATTGTCTCTGAAACAATCACATACCATAACTTTCAATAATGACACTGATTACAATGCTTACAAAATGTAGTCTTCGCAGTCATAACGTTTAATGTAATAGCTTATATTTGTAATTGTATTAATTTTTCATATTTCAATTAAAATATTAAATAAGAAGTGCTATTAAAAAGTGCTGTTTGAAGTAGAGTGGTTCTCAAACGGGAAATTTCGTTAAATGTATAAACTCAGCCCATAACCAAAAGCAATATAGAATTCAATTTTTTCCACAAATATTATATTTCAATTCCAGTACATTCTTCCATAATCGTAACACATTTTATTAAAACGAAATCACATCTTAGTCATCTACACTTTTACAAAATAAAACGTCAAACATGAGCTTGAAATAATTTGTTTGTTGGAAACTATAGTATAATTATTTCCTTGAGAAAGCCAGAAAGAGAGACAAGGTGCCCCAGATAGATAGGTAGAAAGGGAGGACAGGGGTGGGTGGAAGGGAGGTAGATACAGAAAGGGTGAGGGAAAGAGGGGGGAAAGAGGGGGGAAAGAGAGAGAGAGAGAGAGGGGAGAGGGATAGGGGGAGAGGAGGAAAGAGAGAGAGGGAGAGAGAGAGAGGGTAGCAGTCAGAGAGGGGGTGGGTGGTAGTGAGGGAGAAAAGGTAAAAGGAAGACGTGGTTAGGGGGAAGTTGGTGGAGAGAAGTTAGCCTTGTATGAGCCGAAACCGACGGCCAAGTAATAGCGCCCGAGAGATATATTGCAGTAGGTGACCCCGAAATAGCAATGTGTGAATTGTCAACGCAAGAAAATTGCGGTAAGCAACGCCAAAAGCGCGGCGAACGGCCATCATTCCTGATCTCTGTTGACTTTTATGTTACAAATCAGCCGCATATGTCCCCAACCATATGGCTACAACGCAGGGAAGTGTGGCGGCATTGTGCCATGCCGCCGCACGGAACTGCGGTACAGCGATGATCGGTGGAGAGAAGACATTGAATGGTGACAGTGTGGGGAGATGGGAGGGAGGAGTTTAGAAGGACTCGGAGGAAGAGAGGACGGAGCAGAAATGGGTATGGAAATCAGAAATTGAAGATAAAACAAGACCACTAAAATCAACTCCATTGCCATTTAAGTGTCTGAAAACAAGTACTACATCTTATTCAAAAGTAAGATGCGAACCACATTCACGCATAGAAGATTCTGAAATGCATAATTGTAACGGAGGGCGAGTAACGACAGTAGCACAACCGCCATGTAAATAGAATAATTTGCACCCGCGCGCGTAAGCGCTGATATCAGAGCAAACTGAATACACTACCGCAGAAGGAGGGATCTGGTGGTTTAATTCAGTAAAATTTATACACTACTCAAGCGGAAATTGAGTGTCCAAATGAATTCCGTTTCTGGAAGCTGCCCAATGCCCAGGGTTTCAAAATCATTATGCGTAGAGTGTGCGTGCGCATGGTGTGTGTGCACGTGCGTGCATGGGCGTGGTGTGTGCACGTGCACACACACAAACGCGCGCGTGCGTGCACGTGC